CAAAACGATATGCGTTCAGTAAAACAAGCTGTATGTCAAATACTAGTGTTAGTTTAAAAGAATATAATTTACGCTAAAAATCTTATAAAAAATATCTAATTAGTTAAGAATTAGACATGAGATATGTATTACATATTTGTATTGTTTTTTTAATAGAAATGGCAAACGAGCTAGTTTTGCTATATAGGCTGAAATGTTCACAAAATCGGTGGACCGTGAGAGCAAAAAGTAAAACGTTGTTCTTTGGAAATAATGAGCAAACGTGTCCTACATTTTGCACAAAGCGGCCTTGCTAATTGTTTGAAGCTAATATATTTCTCCGCTTTTAACTTTTATAGAAAACCGATTTTGGGTATCGTGTAAATTGGTACTTTCTTTAAAACCTACTTTAATTTATAAAATATGAAATGGGCCGAAATTGCTACAATTATGCTCAATTTTAAAATTCTGTACCAAATTACCTAAAACAGAACACATAGAATCACCTCGATATAAGTTACAAACAAAAGGTTCTTCTATAAGTTATTCTATTAGTTAGTGTTTGAATTAGATGATTGACATTTGGCTTACTTATTAAATTCGTAATTCAAACACAAACTATGATGTAAAAAAAAGAAATTTTCGACTTTGGCAGTTAGTAAGAAAGTACCTAGGTACCTTTTATCATCCTACCTATGCTATAACTCGTGGTATGACCACGAGTTATAGCATTATTTATTGGCTATAGGCATTACATATTACCATAATATATTTATTATTAGAAAGCTAAAGTAAGACTTTTTATCTCTCAAAATGTCACACGAGGGAGCGAAGTCTCATAAGACTTTTTCGTTCTCTGGTGATCATTTTGAGTCATACCACAGAATAAATAATATGGTAATACCGCGATACGAGCACAACCGCGGGTAAAAGTAGGTTTTTATATATGTACATATAAAATGGAATTCGCTAAAGAGGTATAGAAAACCGTATGGCGTTTTCAGTCATAGGAACAAAAATCTATAACATTCTCGCAATCAGGTGTTTTAGCGTAAATTTTCAAAACGGACAAACTCTCATATTTATAATATTAGTAAACAGTTATACTAAATTCATTAAAATGAAACATATTCCAAAATCAACTATGTACATTATACTTTGATTTATGATCATACTATCAACAAAATACTGTAGTAGTGGGTGCCATATATAGCGCTAAATGAAACAATTTTTAGAACACGTCGTAGCATAGTCGTAACAATAAAATGTGCCCGATTTAGACTAAGAACGGTCGGCATCCATTAACTACTTCTACTTAAAGAAATATTATAGTTTTCATACAGACCAAATTAATGCAAGCATATAACTACATACATACATAATACCTACATAAACACTCACGCCTGTCACCCAGAGGGGTAGGTAGAGACTACAGACTTCCATTTGGCACGATCCTGACACACCTCTCTCGCCTCCTTCACATCCATATAACTATGCATACATGCTCGTCAGTTAAGGGTACTCCTAATTTGGCCCGTTTTTAATAAATCTCCAATTTGGTCGATAAATTTTCGCCTAGGACATCCCTTTCCGACTCTGCCATTCACTTCTGCAACATAAATTTTCTTTGTCACTCTTTCCTCATTCATTTTTTCCACATGACCAAAACAACGAAGCATTCCCTTCTTAATCCTGGTCACAACATCATCTTGCAAACCACACTCTTCTCTTATCACACAATTTCTCACCCTGTCATTCAGATTCAGCCCTTACATACTCCTTAACGACCGCATTTCTACCGCGTTCATTCTTCTCTCGTGCTTCTTCTGCCACACCCAACTTTCACTACCATACGTTAAAGTAGGAACCAACACAGCATTGTGAATTGCCATATGTGCCTTTTCGACACATTTTGTCTCTTCACAATAGAGTGCAGGGCTCCACTCTATTTCGTACTCTATTTCCTGCATTCACTCGTCATTCTATATCCTTATCACATCTCCCATCCCTGCTAAATACGCACCCCAAATATATATATATATAATTAATTATGATACCACTAAGACCCACTTTCTTTTGATTATTGTAAGTACTCCGTGGTTTAAACAGTTAATTAAAGTATGTATAAATTAAGATTTTTTTCACTTGTTTACATTTAAAATTAACATTTTTGTTAATTTTAAATGTAAATAACATTTTTGTTAATTTTAATTGTGAATAACTTGAAATATTAACATGACTAAAATAAATTTCATTACCACTAGTTATACAAAAGATAGATTAAGCATTCAAGCCTAGTATAGTAACATTTTCTTAATATTTTCATGCTGTAAGTACATAGAGGACAAGCAGTAGACGCTGCGCAGATTTTAACATTATAGCTATTCGAAAGTCTACTGCTGAACATAGACCTTCCCATAGATTGTCTGACACATGAACTTCTATCACTGAAATTGTAGTTGGGAGCTTAACATACCTTCCCAATGGTGACTTACAATTGTAGATTCTCCACAATTATTCAGTCGTCAGAGCCTAATTTGTTAGCATACACAAAAAACTAACATTCAAAAAAAAGAATTCTGCCTTACATCAGTGATCCTCTGTAATATTACAAAATTAATTTTACATAAATTCAAGGTACATATAAAAATATTTTTATGAAGAAAAACTTTATACACTTATTATTTTATAGAAAAGACTGCATAGTTATAAAGTTATAATGACCTTTAGACTTTTTTGACTTGTGTATCTACATTTTATAAAGTGATAATGTAACTGTTGAAAAAAAAATTGTCTCTTATATTTACGCGAACACTACACATTTAAATAATGCTAGTTTTTACGGATTTTATCGCGTATATTTAACTTTTTAAATTCCCGACGTTTTGAGCTGCTGGGTGCTGTAAAGTGCTCAAAACATCGGGTATTTAAAAAGTTAAATATACACGATAAAATCCATATAAACTGGTATTATTTAAAAAAATAGTCTATTTATCTGTGAGTCTCTTGCCCCTTCTCATAAAAATTCATGCAGCAGGGACTTTGTCATGAAAGCTTTTTGTTCAAACAAAAAGCTTTCTTGACAAAACGTGCTTTGTAAAGGCAAATTATGAATTGAAATATTTTGAATTTAAGTTCAAATAAAATATCAGAAATACACTGATGATAGCACCATGTTATGCATTTATGTGGAAATGCATTATTTGCTCCACCTATTTCAAAGCCAGGATCAATAAATCTGTATTCTGATACTGTGAACATTTCGCCATGTGGCTGTAAGTTATAGTGCAAATAACGCTCAATGGCTCTAAAGCATCCACAATTCAAACCACAATCAATGTTGCGTTTGTGTATTAAATTTCATAAATCTTAGTATATCTTTTATATGAATATGCAATTTTTTTTATAGAATAAGAGTAGCCCATAAACATCTACATCTAACCTCAGTTAAGAATCAAAATGTATCTCCATTTTGTTTCTTAACTGAGGTTTTGTTGCCACTTCTGAGGACCAAGATGAAATGCCTCATTTCCAGTAAAAAATTTAATATTCTCTGGTTCCCTACACTCACCATACGTAACACAACAGCATTGAGCTGCTATTTGATGGTGGTATTCTGTGAAAGCGTGGTCCTTCCCCGGTTGAACCAACCCATTTGTGCTGCAACCATAATATAGCTGCAGCATGGCTCTACCATGTAAAGTATATTCTAAATATATACTAAAGTAATAGTACATTTAATATTAGATAAACATAAAAAGTAAGAAACAAGATATTGATATATGTTTATGATATAAATAATTATATCATATTGATATAATTATTTACATCATAAACATACAAATAAATGGGCACTCCATTCTCTTCTCAAGCAATCCTATAGCAATAAAATAAGATGGTATATTATAAGATTCTGCGTAAGTAAACAGAAATAAATGATGGTGTTATATATGACTTTTGATTAAAAAAAAAACAGAATGTCATCAACAGAATAATGAAATACAATAATCCAAGTTATACACAAAACTGGTAACATAAACACTTTCAATTGCCACACTTGTTGATTTATCTTCTTTAATAATTTCTTAACAATATAACCATACCTAAAAAAAACTAAGTAATTTGTTATAAATATATCTTATTTATATCTGGTATTACTGTAAACTTAACAAAAATTTCATTATGCGAATCCTTATAAATATTGTAAGTATAAAAAGTAAATAAAAAAAATTTCATTTTCCCTTTTACTTAATAATTAAAAAGGTAGCATTTAGTAACCAATCCATTAGTAAAGTTAATAGAGTTTCCAATTCAATTAGGCATTGGTAACATCATGTTATAGCCCAGCCCTAGACATGTTTACCCATCCCTCCCATTATTATAAAATACTTTTTATATTTATACTCAATACTGACCAGTACTTTGGATTTTAAGTAAAATAATAGTATTTATATATGGATCACTGCACATTACAAAATTACTAAATAGTACAGTGAACTATTAGCTTGTCCTAAATGCTTCAAGCATTTTATAATTGAATACAAATATTTTCTTTCTCTTATTTTAATATTGCTATAAGCAAATCTAATTAGAAACCTGGATTTGTACAAATTTAGTTTTATTTCTCCTTTACCTTTTTATTAGAAGAATACACACATTTATAGTAAATTACTTACTTGACTGTAAATAGCTGTAAACTAAGGTATATACTAACTATATACTATCTTCTACAAATCTATAGAATATTTAAGTCTAATAGAAAAAAAAAACAACACCGCTATTAACAAAACTTTGCCTGAGTAAACAAATACAAGTAGGTTTAAACAATTCGCGGAAATTATCGAAGCTTTATCGTCTTCGATCGATTTAACCGGAATTTGAAAGGTTTGGAAAATTACGAGATAACGCTACCGGCATTAACAAAATTAATGCACAGTATGATATAGCTAAGCAAGTTTAGGATATTGAGGACATTTAATCCGTTGAAAAAGCACCACGATTTATTTATAAATTCAACTTACCGGCCACAACTGTATCACTCAAGTCAAATTTCACTGGTTTAGGAAATTCCCTCAATTTCCGTCCGTTCAATTTTAATTCACCACTTAAGTAAGCGTCCTCTAGAATCCTTTCTAAAGATTTCGTTAACTGACTATGAATATTATTGTGACCATTCATATTTCCACTCACATTTGGCCCTAACACGGCCATATTCTTTTTTAAACTGAAACAAAACTGACAAGCAACTGACATTTTCAAATTTAGTCTATGCCATAGAGGATCCATAGAGGGGTGTTTTTTTTTAGTAATATACTCGTATGAATAGTTATTTTGCCTTAGTGTATTATCATAATAGGCTATTTTTTACATATGTTATCTTTTTTATGATAACGTGTTCTTAAAATTCACAAAAATTGTTTCTAGGTTTATCCTTAAAAGATTTGTAAAATAATATTGACACTTTAAACTAGACTTAACTACAATGCGGCGCGGTGAGAAAATGTAAACTATATTGTTGGAAGGGATTATGAATGAAATCAGTGTTCTGGTGTTTAAGAACATCAGAGCACTGATTGTTTTCATAGCCACAAATTATTTTGACGCTTAAAATATTATCATAACAGCCTTCAAAAATTTTGCTCATCAACATATTGAGAAAGTATTTTTTTTAATATTTATTATTACATACTTGTAAGGTCAGAGAGTAGGGGTTTAATTGCACGTTGTTGATTGTCACAATTCTTTAAAATAAAACTTCTTTTAATTTCCTTATATTGGTTATTTAAAACTAAGTAGAAAATTTAACAAATAGTTAAATGTACAAAATATTAAAGATTAAACCATGGAGGTATTGTCTTGTGTATTAATATATTCTAAAAACTGGTCAAATATTAGTTAAAATTATTTTTTCAATTAACATTTGATGAGTGGAAGATTATTAGCCGTCATTACAGTCAGGTGCGAATGAAATAGTGGCACTTGTTTAGATTATCAAAATAATAATGGTTTGAAGTGGATTTTAATACGTAAAACTGGTGAGATTTTGTACTTATATTAAATGTGTGCATGTAAACTACTAAAAGTAACGATATAACAAATGCTTCGATGGTGATTTAAATTTTAAGACTTTTATTCGCTAAGGCATCTTAAGATACTATCGTTAGCAATAGTGCGCTGGGTTAAGCTGCCGTCAAGACCTCCCAAAAAATTCACATTGTAACACTTCAGTATACTGTAAAGAGTTTAGTGAATAAAACATACATCAGACAAAGCTGTATGATGTAAAACCTTGACCTGCCTTAATTGGGGAATTATAAGTAATAAACATAGACTTAGGATAATAATAATCATTAAAGTGTCTAAGCATGGGCGTTTTCAGTTTTTAGCTGCAACGGTTACATAACCGACATTTAGTTTTCATATTGTTATTGAAAACTATTTTCAAATATCGATATCAGTAGTAACGGTTTACTACTGAATGCGCAAACGACAATCGAAACATAACCACAAACTGTAGAACCAGTGCAATATTTATTTATACGGTTTAAACTTTTTTACGGGAGGGCTTTGAAATTCTGATTTCTGATCTGTAACTATCACTATACTCTTTGTCTGTAACCTTTTTGTGTGACGAAAAATGGTGGGGTTAAACACTACGTACCAAAGATGTTTTGTAGGTCCAGATACCGTGTACGCGCGTCTAAAAAGCTTCCATTTAAAAGGCACCAATATTGGCGTATTCGTTCGATCACTTCGATCGTTCCGTCATTACGCCAGCGACGTTCACTGCGAACATACGTCACGCACCGGTGTTTTCAATTTCACAAAATGATGGTTTGTGTGGTGAAATTATGTAAAAATTACTCTTGGAAAAAAGATAAAGATGAGAACATCACTTTTCGTAACTAAGTATACAATATTCTGGTGTATTAATTTGTAAAACAAAACGAACGAACTGTGCAATAATATTCGATCGAAATGTTTTTACCATTTTTTTTATGTCATGACTAACCAAGAAGGTTATTTGTATAGAAGTTTGAGCGATCTAATTTAAAGGTTTTAACCAACATATAGAGTTAAACCATTTTAAGGCTTAGGATTGAATTACATATGGCTGCACGGAATTACACTTTCCTGTGTATCTATCCTTTTTGGTCACTCAAAACCATTATTTACTAGAGTGAAAAAGAGAGATACATCTACTGTGTTTCTTTTATTTATTTTTAACTGTTACATTAATTATAGGTTTTATTATTTATCTTCAATATTTCATTGCGATGTTCGTACCTACATGAAACACACATAATCAACCATATCCCATACACACATGCACACAAATGTACACGCCTCGCATACACGTTTTATACCCGTAGAATCAATAGGTTAGTCAATATAAATGAAATATAAAATCTCCCACATTTTTGAGTAATCGATTCGCAATATTATTACCGAAGTCACGCACATTATTGCAGGCATAAATTGATTGACTCTCAAGGTGGTACAAAGAGTAGATGCTAGTTGATATAACCCAAAAACTTATATTCTCTTCTTATTTTTTAAAAACGTAACCTCCACACTAGGATTTTCTCCTTTATCGTGGGGACAGTTTACAAACATAAATCGTACAAGGACAATCATCCTCACCCCGAACAATTATTTGTAGGCCATACAATTACTTGTACCGTGCGGGATTCGAACCCACAGTTTTAGCGTTGTAATACAATAATTGCTAAGTCGCTGCACCACGGAGCCACCAAATTTTAGAATTTAGTGTATGTAAAATATTATAAAACCGTGGTTTAATCAAAATATAATTACAAATATAATATACAATTACCTAATTAACAAACTAAACCGATAATATCTCTTCTTAAGATCGTAGTAGATGATGCACTGTGACACATATGTATATAATTTAATGTACATAAATGAACGATATACACAATCTATGCTATTTAAAAGTCATTAATGAATTTCGAATAATTGAAATGTTTACATTTAATACAAAAGTTTCATTTCTGTCGCGTGTCTTCTCGACATACACTATTTTAGTCTTTATTAGGAAGACGTTGCTGCCTATTTCCTGATTTGTTTCCTTCTGTCGTATAGATTACTGTATAATATATACTAGAGATTCTGTCGCCTTTTACGACAGCCACGGGATGATATGTGGTAGTGGATATTCTTACACCGTCACAACACGGTACAATAAATTATATACAAATATATTATAAAAATCTAAATTAACTTAAACTATATTGTACTATATTTTCACTTTACACAGTTTGAATTAAAACTAGTGTATAAAATGCACAAAAATTTTGCAAATAAATGCACAAACGCAACGTCAAAATTAATAATATTGTAGATATTATTATCTTAGCGAACAACATGTACTAGTAAGGCTAAATGCATAATTGCTACGTTTTGAAAAAAATCAAATTCTAACCTTTCTTCCATCCAAAACATAAAAATCATAAACATAAAGTTGCCTAAACCAAATATAGTATGGTCATACAAATCCAAGTCCTGTGTATATTGGTATATGGATCATTTAAATTTGACAACTCTCATAACTACACAACCTTGAAAATTAGACAATTTTAACCATTTAAAATTCGACCTTATTGCTTTAGGTAATTATATCCACTATGTCCATTTTTCACCATGTGTGAAAACTACCAAAACATCGCAACGAAATCCATATTCACTTCATCTCTTTATATACGTATTTTTGACACCGTCGCAAGAACGAGAAACAAGGAATATCAACGAAGGTCATCGGTTAGTTTGGTGGGACTTGTTGGACCACCACACTAGCCGATGACCTTCCGTCGTTTATTCTTGCACAAAATATGTTATAGTTCCAGTTTTCGTTTTGCGTTTCGTAACTTCCGCACGTTTTGGTTTTTTGGTTTTGGTTGGATATGTGATAACTGTTGGATACTTAGGTATCTTGATACGATATGATATTTTGATAACATAACGTTATTAGTTACGTTTTGATACAGCGGTCCATGCCTATTAGTGTCATTTGGACTTGCAGTGACACTGACATTTGAATAACCTCTTATTTTCTTGCTTTCTTAGAAATTAACGTAATTTGTAATTTCATTAAACACAAAATGACAATATTAACTCTTTTTCGCGTAGCAAATTTATCTAAAGTTGTAAAGAAAGCAAACAGTTGTCAAATAGAAGTAAGTTCAAAAATTAAAGTATTTTTATGTGATTATTTAACAGTAGGGTATTACTGAGGTTGTTTCTTTAAATTACCATTTTATTATATTTTAGTTCTTATCTGAACAGTTTAAATAAAGAAAATTATGGCAAATACATAACTTTGAAAATTATGGATCATAAATAGCGATCCGCCCCGGCTTCTAACGGGTGATTTCAGAATCTTGACAACAGCGTCACCTACCGGGTCCAATTCTGAATTTAAACCATTCAGGGACCAACTCAAACATACATACTTAAACAAATTCATTTCAATCGGTCCAGCCGTTTTAGAGTTTTAGCGTGATTTAACGGACAGCAATTAATTTTTATTTAAGAGATTATACTGTCTATATATCTTTGACATTTTTAAATTATAATGTTTTATATTGTATGTAAGTAAAACTTTTGGTATTGAACTATAATTAACAGCAGATTTATTAATACTGCAAATGCAAACATCGTCTTTACCCACCTATTACTGATGCAATAATTATGCAATAAAATAAGAAGTAGGCTTTGCAAGGTCACTGAGATGGTGTATATCAGATCTTAATTATAAAATACCTAAACTAGGACATGGGGCAGCACATCATTAAAGGTGCAAATAGCTTAGTATTAACTTGATCTGCCAAGCATGACAAGGTTGCAAATGTTACCTATTATTGGAAATAATTTTATGCAGTAGTAATTGTTTACCACTGTTTGGAATTTAAATTTTCTTTGGTATTTTATTTCAGGCATATTCTTCCTATGTAAAATATGCAGAACATAAACCTTTAGAAAGAATAAGGAATATTGGTATTTCAGCCCATATAGACTCTGGAAAGACTACTTTAACAGAAAGAATATTATTCTACACAGGCAGAATTGATGTTATGCATGAGGTAAGTAGTATTTTTCATTTACAAATGTTTGACTCAGTACTGCAGCAATAAAAACCGATGTTGTTTTTTAATATAAGCGCAACAAATATAGATAAGAGTGTATTCAGAATTTTGAATCATGTATTTAGAATTTGAATATGTGGTAGA